GTTTTTTGGTGGGCGCCCATTTTGGTGGGGTGTTGCATCGGCTGAACTGTTGCATGCACTGACCACATCCAGTATCTATAAATTTCATCTTTGCTACAAGTCTAAACCTTCTCAACCCGTACGAACTGTTCATCTTTCTCGTCATGAGTAATATCGCCAACGTCTTGACGAACCATTTCATCTTCTTTTGGGTATGCCCTCTTCCACATAGACCAGATCGAATATTGGAACAAGTCGTCCATAGACTCAATAGACCGACCCTTCATCTCCGGCATACAGATGTAGACGAAAATAGCGCCAATGTAGGTCAGTACTGCGTATAAAAGGAATGTCCCCCATCCCAAATGCGTCATCATCGACGGTGTGGCTTTGGTAATCCCAAAATCAACAATCCAGTTCGTGAAGAAGCACCAGCTCATGCAGAAAGAGCGAATGCGAGAAGGGAAGATCTCTGCGGCCACCACATAGCAAGCCACACTATGACCGAATGACCATCCGAAAGCGTATATGTAGATCCAGACGATACCAAAAACACCGCCGACTTCGGTGCCACCGCCCACCTCTGGTTTTGCAAATCGGACGTAGAGCGCAATATACAACATGGCAGTAGCCTGAAGGCACGCACCGATGATAAGAGGCAATCTTCGCCCGACGCGGTCAACGATGAAGACGACGTAAATGAGCACAGTGACAAGCTTGACAACACCATAGATGCCAGTGGTGAATAAAGCTTGCGATCCTCCCTGTACGCCAATCATAGTGAAGATTTCCGGGGCAAAGTAGTTGAGTGAGTCGGTTCCTGTGAGCTTATGGAAGAGGAACAGCATGATGGCGAGGAAAAAGCGCCGTCTGTTGGATGCTACGAGCGCAACATCCTTGATCACTAGCCAGTAGTTACGTCCAGCCGCGGCCTCTTGCTCTAGATCCACTTGTGCGCATGTTTCCATGTATTCTTGCTGAACATAGGGGTGGGATTCGGGGAGTTTCCGAAGCTTGACGAGATTGATAAGACCTTGCTCACGCTTTCCACGCGCGATCAATGCACGAGGAGTCTCTCCCACGAATGGGAGCATTGCCAACATCTTCTAGATGTTAGTGATAATACCACCAGTCGAGACTAGGGAGATACATACAAATCCTCCTGGGATGAGTTGAATGCCCAATGCTAACATCCACTGTGTGTTGTCTGTGACATTGACATTTTTCCATTTGCTGACTCCATAGTTTGTCCAAAATGCTAGTGAAAGAGCAGTGATGATCATTAGGTTATAGAGACAAGTCATTGACCCACGAATCGCTCTGGGTGAGTTTTCCGCCAAAAACTGGGGCGCGCCGGCGGACATGGACCCGATTGCGACACCAGCAAGAAATCTACCTGCATAGAAAAGACGAAGATGGGGAACCTCTTGGAAGGCACAGCCGAGCATATACAATGAGCCGTAGAGCATCATCGACCACTTGCGACCCAAGAAGTCGGCACATGGAGCAGATATAAGGGCACCTGCAGCGCCACCAGCAGCCACTGTGAACAGTTAGCATCAGGATTCATGGGGCATTGCATGAAGGGGGATTTACTCAAAGACGCAATATTGCCTTTGCGCGCATCGGCCGCATCTTTGCTTAAGTTGTCCAGTCCAAAGGCATGCTTGAATGTTGGTAAAGTCAGGACCCCTCCAATGTTTCCTTGATCAAAACCATAGGCACAGCCAGCCATGGCGATAGTAGTTGCAAGAAACGCCAAACGACCATTGTAAATCTCTCGCGGGTCACTCCGAGCCTGGGGCGAGACCCAAATGCTTGTACCCCCACCCATTTCGCATTCAAAATCGAATCAAGAACTTCAAGGTGAGAAAGTGAATTTTAAATTGTGATTGATGGATAACTGTGAGAAGCAAAATTCTATCTCCTACAGGTTGGCTCTTATAACATAGCAAGATGGCAAGAAAACATGGCCATATCTAGCTAGTTTGGCTGTTATGCTAGTTAGTTTCTCCCCGCATTCGCATTTCCCCGCAATCCTTCGTGTGACCTTCTCTGGATCTCTCGGTGAGAAATCCGGGGGCGATCTTGGTACCAGAACGACTAGGAAAAGATATGCGGAACCTTTTCCGGATCGGCTTAACCCACAAGAGTAACACCGACGTGATCTAACGAAGTCTGTGGAAGCGCACGCTCACTGGCTCTTAGAGTGAAGAAGCTTACTTGGCAAGCTTATATCAAGTTCGCTTTTCTTTTAGGAGCCATGTACTCGGCTTGCTTTCAACAGTTCATCATTTAAAGCAGTAACAAGGATTTCTACAACATCCCAAAATGTCAGACTTCAACGCCGAGTTGGACGTCCAATCAGACAAGCCTCTCTTCGCTTCAAACTACATTCCGGCATCTACAGTACAAGTTCACGCCTCCAATCTGTTACAGCTACCGAATGGCGACCTGTTATGCGCATGGTTCGGAGGCTCCCAGGAAGGACTCTCCGATATTTGCATCCATCTTTCGCGGCTGAAGAAGGGCTCACGGGTATGGTCGACGCCGCAAAAGATCTCGGATGATCCAGAGCGTAGTGAACAAAATCCAGTGTTGTTTCTCGTTCCTGGAACAGCAGCTTTGTGGGTAATGTATACGGCGCAGCCAGCTGGAAATCAAGACAAAGCTGTTGTGCGATACCGTGTGTCATCGGATGAAGGCCAAACATGGAGTCTGGCGCACAATCTTTTCAACGATGAAGGGCTCTTCATCAGACAGCCAGTCACTGTTCTGAAAGATGGTACCTGGGTGCTCCCAGCGTGGTACTGCCGCAATCCCCCTGGATTTCGCTGGGTCGGCTCAGATGACATTTCCGTTGTCAAATATACGAGAGATGGCGGAAAAACTTGGCAAGAGAAGGGAGTTCCCAACTCTATAGGGGCTGTACATATGAACATCAAAGCGCTTCGTGATGGCTCGTACATTGCTTTCTATCGCTCGCGGTGGGCAGACAACATCTACATGTCGACATCTACCAACTGCATCGATTGGACGGAACCTAAGCCCACATCCCTTCCGAATCCCAACTCTGGTATCTGTTTCGAGGTTTTATCCGACGATCGTCTCATCATGATCTACAACGACTCTCAGTTCGAGAAAGGCCAAGCGAAACGCGAGGGCCTTTATGATGACATTACTCCCAAAGATGATAAACGCGTCAACCAGCGTGGTTCGACCAAGGATGCTGTGTGGGGAGTACCTCGCAAGATAATGACTGTGGGTGTGAGCAGTGATGGAGGTAGGACGTGGAAGAGTAAGACATTGCAAGAAGGCGATGGATTTTGCATGACGAACAACTCGCGAACAAAAGAGAATAGAGAACTCAGTTATCCCAGCATCTGGGTGGAGAGGGGCGATAAAGATGTCGTGAATGTTGCATTTACATTCTGGAGACAGCGGATCAAGTTCATTCGTTTCGATGTTGACTGGCTAAACAGCTAGAACGCTATAGTTTTGTACATGGATACAATTTCAGAACTGGTAATCAAAACTCAGATAACTGATTAACAGATACATGAATGTTAAAGCAGTGTGCATCACAATTTTTCGATAAACTGAATTAGGGAAACAGAAGCCTAGTCAAAAGACATTGTAGTAATATACAAGGCTACGGCCTCTGATATTGTTTTTTTATTCTCTAATCTCGAGATGGCACAGATGATTTTCGTAGTTCTTTCTAATGGAGGCGGCCCTCCGGGGATAGACGTTATCATTTATTCATCTCATTCGCCAGGAGCTGCGATTGCACTTTGCTTGGGGGTTGTTTTTACGCATGTGAAGCCTTTATCAGAAAGTATTGACAATGCTATCAAGAACTATCCTGAACGACTTCATGAAGTGAGAGACGGATGGAATTCTAAAGTAAAACGCTTTTATCAGTTCCTTACTTTGTTTGGAATGCTGTTTGTTGTGTTTGTGGCGGTATGTTCAGGTTGGTGTTGCATTGTGCGCTGCGTGCACTGTGTGCACTGCTTTGGTGGAGCAGCATCATCCGGCTGTTTAGCTGCGATGAGAGGCACTTAATGCATTGTATGCAGAGTGTGCAGCTGGCGATAAGAGGTGTCCTTGTTTTTTAGGCGCTGAGATCGTCATTCGGGGAGAAGTCCGTTGTGGAGCTAGTTACACCACGGGGAGGTTGGCCGACGCTGAGAACACCGAAGAACGCACCCTTCGGACCAGCGTCGAGAATCCATCTTCTCCCCGAATGTGGGGTTTATTGGAATAATGGGCCAAAAGAGGGACAAAGTGGCGCAGATAAGGTGAAAGAGCGAGGGTCCCGTTTCCGATGGGGACATACTGTGCAAAGTTCCAACTATCCAAGCCTCTTCGTCCTTGACGTTTCTGTCCTAAGGTTTTTTGACAGATTTCTTTGATCTTAGGGAATACTCAAAAAAGTATGGGGAATTCCTGTCTGTCATTTGAGGACGTGAGAGCGCACAATAGCCGCGAAAGCTGTTGGGTTGTCATCAAGAATCAAGTCTGGAATGTAACCGATTTCCTAACTTCGCATCCTGGAGGAGCAGATAGTAAGCTGTTGGCTTCAATGTCCGTACATTTTGTGTATGATTATGTTAACAATTCGCAGCTATCCTCAGGTATGCAGGCCAAGATGCGACTGAAATCTACAACGAAATCCATGCCCCAGGGATGCTCGAGGAAACACTCGCGCAAGAGAAATTCATTGGCAATATCCTCCCGTCAAGCGATAACTCCCGTGGAGGCACATTAGAAGAAACGACAGATGCTAAGTCCAGGCCTAAGCCCACAATGCCTACTCGACCTGCATCTGTCGATGCACTTGCGCAGATACCCTTCATTTACGAGAAACCACATCTCCACTCTGTCATTTCCGCCGCCGATTTCCAGGAAGTCGCCCGCCATGAATTGACGCCCAAAGCGTGGGCATTTTACTCGAGCGCTGCAACGGACCTCATCACGCATGGTATGAACAAATCGCTGGTAAGACGAATCATGTTCCGACCGCGCATCCTCCGCGACGTCAAGACTGCTTCCATCAAGCGTAATGTCTTGGGGTGCGAGTCGTCAGCACCATTCTTCATATCACCTGCAGCTATGGCGAGAATGGCACATCCGGACGGTGAGCTTGCTTTGGCCAGAGGTGCCGCAAATGAGGAAATCGTACAATGCATAAGCAGCAACGCGAGTTATCCTCTTGCTTCCATTGTCAAGGCAGGCAAAGAAGGGCAAACATTCTGGCTACAGCTATACGTCAACTCTGAGCGAGTGAAAACTGAGGAGTTGTTGCGTAAAGCGGCTTCTCTTGGCATTAAGGGCATATTTGTTACCGTTGATGCTCCAGTCCCAGGCAAGCGCGAAGCAGATGAGCGCATCGCCGCAGAAAGTGTCGCAAGCGCTATTTCCGGTGCGGTTGCAAGTAATGACAAGAAGGGCGGTGGTATGGGCCGGTTGATGGCGGCCTATGTAGAGAAGAGTCTAGTTTGGGAAGATATCGCGTGGATCAAGAGAGTTTCCGGCTTGCCCGTGGTCCTTAAGGGCGTGCAGAGCGCTGCAGATACGATCGTGGCCGTGCAATTTGGAGTAGACGGTGTCTTCCTTAGCAATCATGGCGGTCGATCGCTGGACGGGTAAGTCGCCGGCCTACCAATTTCACTAACTTTCAACTAACACATTATTAGAGCTCAACCAAGTATTCTAGTATTGTTAGAACTCCATCGCATCTGTCCAAATGTGTTTGACAAACTTCATATCTATATCGATGGCGGATTTGAACGCGGCTCAGATATCCTCAAAGCAATTGCTCTGGGTGCAACCGCTGTCGGAGTGGGTCGCCCATATCTGTACTCATTGACATATGGTACAGAAGGTGTTGAACATCTGACACAAAGTAAGTTTATACATCCTGTCATGTCCCAAGAACTCATTCTCAAAACGTGACACAGTTCTTAAAGATGAACTCGAGACATCCATGCGCTTATGTGGTCTTACGGATATTAACCAAGCACATCCTGGCCTAGTCAATACACGGGACATCGATCACTTGGTTGAATCACAGTCGGATCAGCATCCATACATCCGATGGAAACCTAAAGCCGTGCTGTAGTCTCTTTGTCCAGATCACCCCCAATCATAGGTGCAAATCTTGGCAAAAAGATTTGCAAATGCTGGAGGTTATGTGTGCGTATTTGTGAATGCATGGAGGGTGGTTCAAATTCCCTTAGCCAAAGTATTTCAAAATCATTCCTAAGGTACTTTTGTAAAGCTAAAATCCATAAAATCATGGATGAATTGACAATTCTCCGCTTTCATTTTGTTTATTGTACACTTGGTAAAAATGCAGCTCTTTTGATACAAAGTACAGCTTGCGATTTGTATAAATAAACACAAGCAGTGGCTTGGGAACAACATTTTGCCTCTATTCTCTGTCGTCTTTTGGGACTGACGGAAAGAAAGTACGTCGTTGCATTTCTGTAGACATTCGAGAAACCACCAACTGCCCCCACGCACTATACCTCTATCTTTGGAACGTTCTACTTAGTTTTACAAGTTCCCATTTCTCACTCACATGTAAAAAGCATTCGTGTAATCTGTGCTTCTACTTGGGAAAACCGTAGATTAAAAGGTCCCCATGGCAGCGTGATAAGATGGAATACATTATTGCTATGATTTAACTATCAACAATGAATGGAGAAAAAATTATGCCATTTCGCACTTAGTTGGTCCAAAGCTCAGGCACACTGAAGGTAATAGTAGCGTTCGCTAACTTGGTGGCGATGTTCACACGTGGAACATCTGGCCAGAAATTCGGAAAGTACTCATCGCCCACCGCATTTGTGTCCTGGCCTTCTTCCACGTCACCATCTCCCTGATCCAAGTCAATGGTTCCCAATGTGGCGCTTTTAGTTACTTGATTTGGCATGGTGGCTGCCCATTGTTTTGTCCCCGGAAGCTCGTCGTAAGTACTGTTGCCAAAGGGCAAGGGTGGCTGGGCTAGTAATGTATCAACACCCAGAAGAGTATATAGATCGGTGCTGAATGGTATGCCAGGCAAGACGCTCGGCCTGAAAGTGGCCTGGAACCAGGGTTTCTCTGCTGGTTTAGATTCCAAGGGGTCGCCAGTGGTATCGTACGGATAAACTTTGACTGATGTTTTGCCATCCTTTTCTTCGACCCAGTCAAATCTGGCTAGGTGCTTGGGAATGTTCCAATCTGTCAGTGTGTTAGTGGAAATTATTGTTTAGGATATGTGTCCACAGTCATGTGGCTGTGATATTGAATAAACGTACTTGTTCTTCCGTTCCAACACGTGTACTTCTGACTAACATAGATCCTACTGACTCTGACATTCTTCCTCTCCTCCACTTTTCCACTAGAGTCTGTATGGTTGTATTTGAAGAAACCCGGAACGATCAGAAGCTCGTCATATGGACCAACAGGGCTATCCGTGTATCGGATAATTTGTATCTGGCCCAGTATGCCAATGAATTCACCCTCTATGGCTGACGCGTACTGACGTTCGAGCGGTGCGAACGCCTTAGTCGGTAGCTTGTTTGAAAGGGGAACATAGGTGATGGAATAGACGGTACCCTTCAAAGTCCAGGGTGCAGGCGCAAGCTCGATTGGAGCTGTGGAGTTGTTGTCCCACTGGGCTGTAGACAGCACAGCGAGTTTCAAGAGCAGACATGCAATGCCGAATCTCATTTTCGCGACTGGTATGGGAAGCGCAAAATAATTGCTGACAACCGAACAGTAGAACCAACTACGGGGTGTTGTAGTGTTGGATCATAGATTTGGTGAATGTTCTCGAGCCGTTTACATACTAATCTCTGAAAGTGCCCAGGATACTTAGCGCTATTGATATCTGCTCTTGAAGTATCCACCCTAACAGAACGCCTGATTCATTCCCTGCAGCCTCGTCATATTCTAGGTTCACGTTGCGTAAACTAACAAATAGTTTTGACGAATGAATACCATACATTGAGATGGTGCCAAGTGCAACCAGGCTACATTCGGTAAGCAAAAGCGTTTCCATACTTACTGCACTTGCCCCGAAAACCAATGAAAGTTCAGGCCATGGTCAGATACAGTTGTTTTGACTCACCGGAAGTCACTTCCGATAAAAGCTGTATAGTGAACCCGGATCGATTTTTTTTCTCAAAAGTGGTATTCTTCTGACGATCGCTATTTCAAAATGCGGGGTACGTGAATCCACCGAAGCCCCATTGGAGGCCTTTTGTCCGAGGATCGAAGCCATACGTACTTACGTACGTATCTTTTTTCTTTCTTGTGATACCTCGGCTCTCGTCCAACCGATGAAAATTGGAAAATAGCGGCTTCTTCTGGTACTACAACTCATCTAAAAATACAGCTAAATCGCTACGTACTTGCCTGTTAGGGAGCTATACCTCTAGTACGTAGGTGTGAATCGATATGTATATATCTAATTGTAGGGAAAATTATGT